ACGAAAAGCTGGCAGGGTGGGGTAAACGATTCGTGCTTAACTAAATTGCCGAATATGGCAAACATACTATTCTTAACCTCCACCTTAATTGAGGTCACCGGCACCCGGAGGAGAATAAAGCGGTTCATTGAGTGGTTCCGTCATTTAATCCTCATTGTGAGTCAAAACCCACACTACTGGTCGCAGTTGAGTCGTTATTCTTGCTCTTTACTTAGAACAACTGTTCCCATGCTGTACAATTGACCGGTGCATGAGACGGTCTGCTTTCCGCCGAAAGAGTTCGTTTCTCGGTCGAAATCTTGGACAGATCTCCAAAGGTACTCGAGGATATGGCGATCATGTTATCTGACTCTGATCGAATAGTGCGATCGCTCCAGAAGATGATGAAGACAGGTACTTAAATTGGTCAGTATTCTATCTAAGCGTTTCACCTCTTTCTTCCGCTTGGAGATTAGCTGAGTCGGATGGGCTCTTCCCTCTGATTAGTTTCATTTCTGTGCGTTGAGACCTTCTCTCGCAGCTCTGCCACGCACGGAATCCATCAGGTGAGGAGCTTGCTCCCCATATTATTCACCAGAGCAATATCATCTGCGAACTCCATACCAACAAGATATTTGGTCGGATATCTTACATGCATTTTCTCGAAAATTAGACCTTGGTCTTTGCCAAGATCAACACTATTTAGCTAAAGAAGTCGAAAACAATGCTGAATACAGGAGACGAAGGCGCATTCCCCTTACTAACTCCACACTTAGACTTTAACAGCAGGCATGGGTTCAGCACACATCTCTCCCAGAATGGAAACTCTGTGCAGACGTATTCCACAATATTTCTCACATCGTTGGGCGAGTCAGACGCTATCAAAAATCCCTCTCTTGGCTGACTTGAAAGCGAGTGCTTTGTGATACACATGATGCACCTGTCGTGGAAGGGGATTCACACGTTCACAACACTGTAGCGAACCTGCAACTTCTCAGCAACGTATCCACAAACGCAAATTCAAGTGCAACACTTATATATTTTACTTTCTGGGGTAAATGTGGATGAGCTCTTTGGTACTCTTCCTATATTACGAGGGCCAACCCACCCGTCGACTTTCAGAAAACAAGAACTGCGTTAATCGCCTTTGACCTTTTGGTTAATTACTGCATGCAGCAGTAACTTCATTTGCATGATATGCGATTCCTCCGTGGCTGGTACCTGATGGTCTGGAACTCTGCCCTCCGTTCTATTTTGACCTATACTAGTAAGTCGATAACAATATGCGACATTTCTACAGGCATCAAAGGCTGTTATGACCGC